TGGTCTACGAAAACTTCTGGATAATTTCTACATTTACCACTACCATGCCAGATGTCTTTCATCCTATATTGTTATTTTATCTGAACTAAACAAAACACTTTATAGTTATATATGCTGACATCCACTTTATTTGTTTTAGTTCAGTTCTCTAATCCATCAAAATCATCTTTAATTCTGTTTCCGACATCTATGGTATTGTATTAGTTACCTCTTTCATTTGATGTCACCTGTGACTTCCACAACATTTGGACAATATCATGAAAACGAGGCCCCTTCAACACTGCAATATAAAATCCAAATTATCTGCTCTGAATTGGATTATATGGCAGTGTAGAAGGGGCCTGAGCCTTCTCAGTAGTAGCTCAGAATCCTCTTAGGCCCCTTCTACACTGCTATATAATTTGGAATATCAAAGGAAATAATCCACATTATTCACTTTGAACTGGATTATTTGAGTCTATACTGCCATATGATCCAGTTCAAAGCAGATAATCTGGATTTTATCTAGCATTGTAGAAGGGGCCTAACTGGAGGGATAAAGAAGCAATGAATGCCTGCTGAAAACACCAGAAGAAAAATATTCAGATCTGTAGTATTCCTTGCTCTATTGTTGCTTCTATGGTTATCTTTCTTACACTGATGCTGAATGTCTGTTCTTATCATTTATTATTTTTAGTATTTAAATGTTTATATATTATAGCCTTAATATAAACTACTTAGAAATCTTGCAACATTAAGCAGTGTAGAAATATTGAAACTAATGAATAATAAATAAATAAAATAGATTAGCATCCCACTAATTTAAGTTAATTATAAAGGCACTGAACAAGATTAGGGTCAGGACATAACCCTATAGCATCACAGTAGAGTCTCTATCAAACCTCTATGCCCTTAATAAAACACTCTGTTTAGTTCTTGGATCTAAAACCACACCTGTTCTGATCTTACCGAGGTTACTAATAAATGCTTCAACTTCCATGGTCAGGGAAGCCTCTCCCATACCAGGCCCACATGACAATCATACACAAGATTGCCAAACTGTTCTGAAAAATATACAGACATTGCCCAAACACCTAAGAAAAACAAGTAGTGCCAGACAAAATGTCATGAAGTCTCACCTTCTCTTGCTATCATTGCCATTAAAAACACTCTGTTTACTCCACAGGGTAAAGTCAGTATTTCCAAAAGGCACAGTCAAACTATAGCTTTATTAAAAACAACCAAAACATGACAAAATAATATGCAATCTTTCAAGTTCTTGAGAACTCATCAATCTGGGTGTTACAAAAAGAAAATGGGAGAAAAACTTGTCTAGATGTTGAGCCCATGGAGAGAGCATTTTAGACTTCATGACAGCAACTACAGAGTGACTGAATTAATTCCAAGTGGTGCTGGGATCAGTTTACATCTGAGATTCAGCAAGAAACAACTAAGGCTGATTTTCATTTCTGGAAACAAAATCTGTCTCTTGCTGAGCAAAAACATAGGTTCCTGGAAAGTCAAAATGTCAAAGTAAATAAAAGCACAACAATCTCTATATCAGCAAAACTGGGAAGTGATTTTAGTGCACCATGAATAAACAGGAGTGAAATTAAGCCAAATTATATAGGATTATGTCGTGCTTTGAAGTATGCCCTCCTTAAAACATAGTCTCTCTTTAAGTAGTAAGGGGAAAAATCCTTCTATGTGGATTCTGGCTTAATAGGTTAAATATAGGAATCCTAAAGTAATTAATCATGTCTTATTAATAAAAAAACAATTGCCTAATTTTATCAGCAATTCATGCTAGTTATGAATAAGTAAAGGTAAAGGCTTGCCCTGACATTAAGTCTAGTTGTGTTCGACTCTGGGAGGTGGTGCTCATCTCAAGTTCTAAGCCAAAGAACCAGTGTTGGCTGTAGACACCTCCAAGGTCATGTGGCCAGTATGACTGCCTGGAGAGCCATAACTTTCTGCAAAAGTGGTACCCATTGATCTACTCACATTCGCATGTTTTCGAATTGTTAGGATGGCAGAAGCTGGGCCTAACAGCAGGAGCTTACTCCACTCTCCAAATTCGAACCGGCAACTTTTCGGGTCAGCAAGTTCGCCAGCTTAGCAGTCTAACCCGCTGCACCACCAGGGGGGTTATAGTATAGTAATCATTTATTCCATTCATTTATTGTATCTTGGTTGTTGCTTTTTTTAATGCCAAACCACAGATTTTTAAGTAAACTAAAAAACAAATTAAAATACACTGTATTCAGAAGTCCTGTTTTTATTTTACTTATAATTACAAAAAGCACTTCAACTTTTTGGGCTCCTTGTTAAGTCTCAAAGTTGCTATATCACATAACTATTTCTGCAATTTTCACTTATTAAAAATTTCAATTTTATACGAGTCCTGTTTATACTTTGAAAGACCCAGTTTAATATACTCAATACAATCACATATTCTGTGATTACTTGACTGAATAAAATATGAATTTCTTACACCACAGTTAAGTCACTTTGACGAATGTTATAAAGGTTTAGTTCACAGGCCAGATTTACCATATACCCCAGGCATGGGAAAACTTCAGCCCTCCAGGTGTCTTGGATTTCAACTCCCAGAAATCTCTGCCAGTGTACTAGCTGTTAGGAATTATGAGAGTTGAAGTCCAAAATACATGGAGTGTCAAAGTTTGCCCATGCCTGAAATACACTCAAGAGTGTGTGTCTATGTGTGCATGTGTAAAATAGTCAACCCCTAAAACCATGGATTGACTTATACATGGTTCAATGTGGTGTCTCTCCCTGCCATGGCAGCCCTTCTGACCCTTCTGAATGCCAAGAAAATTGGGGCAGTGGATGGAATTGTCGCGATGAAGATGAACGCAGACATTCACAAACGCAGAAGCCTTTTGTCTTTGACCAAGAAACAAACTCAGGCGTTGTCTTTTGCAGAGGTTATAAAAGAACATATATACACACAAAGTCCAAATGTTCTCTTTGAGACACAAGCCTTGTAGAACTCCAAACTCCTTCCTCCAAACTCCTTCCTCCAAACTCCTTCCTCCAAACTCCTTCCTCCAAACTCCTCCAAATGCACCTCTCCAACAATTCAGCTCTAGCAACCAACTCCAACAACTCACAACCAGGAGTAGCTTGGTTCCTTTATTCCCCTTACAGGTGCCCCACCCTGGCTGTAACCAGCCAATATTGGCTAGGTGGTCCAGCTTATTCCCTGCTGCATTGATCCTTGCATCACTTACATCATTTACTATTTGCTACTTCAGTACTATCCTGCCATGACAGGGAGAGAAAAGGTAGTTCGTACTTCTTTGATGATAGGCTCCCACCAACCGCCCACACCCTAGTCTTATCTGCATTGACCTTGTGGGTTGGTGAGGGGTGGGATCAGCCTGTGGGTGGCTACAAAACACATGTGGGCTGATCTAGATTATCCCGGGGAAAGCTGCTTAATGCGACTGCATCCTGGAATAAATGAACTGTTTCTTCACTCAGCACTCCACGAGGAGTAGACATCCCCTGGTGGTGCAGGAGCTGGTTCTGATCACTTGCTCCCTTTTGCACTCACCCTACTTTCCTCCCATGGCATCAGACATAACTAGTCAAAAAGGGCAGAAGTTGTGCTGTGGCTGAAAGTAGAAGGGAGCAGTGTTTCTTCTAGACTGCTGGAATGGACTAAGCTCTCAACTTTTGCCACTCTATCCAGGGAGGGGACTTTACTCTTTTAAAAAAGAGTTAATAGTGTATTTAAACTTTTATCAAAAAAGGAACCATCTCCTTCTCTGAACTGAGTGATGAAGGCCTTTTTGAATGCCTGGGTGAGAAATGGAAGCACCAGTGGCCGGGGTAAATGGTCTCATTGTATAGAATGGATCTAAGGCTCCTCATGCTGGGTCCAAAGTTTTATCATCAGATTATCCATAGTTCATATTAAAGTTGATAATTCTGTCCCCAAGACCTGCCTTTGACTTATATATGAGTATATACAGTACTATATAAAAACAAGACATTCACTCTTGTTGTTTTAAATAGAAATCAGCAACCATGATGGCATTAGTTGAGTAATAATGTTCAGGGAACATACTGATCAACATTGAAGATGGTAACAGGTAAACCAGCTAGTTACGTTTTAATAAAGAAGCTTTAAAAGTTCCCATGCCATGTTTACCCCATTCAAATGAAACTCCTGCTTTCTTTACCAGCCTACATGAATTATGATGGTAAAGGATCTCTATGCTTCATACAGTTTATACAACCTCCTGCTGTGTTCCAAGGGTGTAATGTTTTCAAGGCAAGAGCCTGACACTAAGATCACATGGATCGTCAGACATGTTTACTTTAAAAATGCAGCCATTTAGATGAAACTCGTTAGCTTAAACAGGCTGCAAGCAGGAACTCTGTAGACTGAACAACAGTGACAAAGGCATGAGCAAGACAAAAACCAGAAAAACCAGTTTATTAAACAACTAAATGAACAGTACCGTATGTCATGCCATGATCTTTGCAAGAAAATATAAAATAAGAAAAACAGTGGAAGCAGGACTGAAACATGAATTCAAAAGAATACAAACCATTTCCTTAAGATCAAATCCCACATCTTTCTATGCTATAACTATACTACTACTGTTTTTAGATTTTTAGTAATATATAGAGCCAGTGTGGTGTAGGACTTTGAAAATTGGGCTCCAACACTGGAAACTAGGAATTTAATCCCTGCTTAGCAAAAGAAATCCATGTGTGGGCAAGTCACATTCTTTCTCAGAGGAAGGAAAAGCAAACCCCCTATGAACAATTCTTGTAAAAAAAATCCTATCTTAGGATCACTGTAAGTTAGAAATGACTTGAAGGCATACAACAACAATGCAGAAATTGCCAGATGTTTATCTTTCAGTCATTATTTAGAATACATAGATGGCATATTTCAACACTGATTCCTTGGGGATCTCTGTGATAAAAATAACATCAGCAGCAAGAATGAAGGTAAATAGTATGTCAGCTGAAAAGCTTACCTTTGATGGTCTCCTCAACAACTTCCACAACACGATCTATTTGTTGAACCTGTTAAGTGGTAGATAAATGTAACTGAATGTATTCTGAAGATGTTTAGAAGGTTTTTCCCATTATTTTGTATATATTGAATTCACATCAAGGAGAAATGTACTCTTTTACCTGAGTATCTGCATTATGTTTTAGTTGACAGCATACATATGCATTATAATTCTGCTTGAAATGTTTGAAAAACATATGAAAGGCAGACTGGAGGAAGGAATCAAAATCAGGTGGCAAATACACTTTCCCTAACATTCATTTAAAGTGAAAGGCAGTGTTACCCACTGATTACAACATTACAACATGTAGGAATAACTGATCATGAAGAAGAGATGGCCACAGGTGTTTATGCCATTTTAGAGACTGATAGTGAGACACATGAATCATAATTGGACTTGATTAATGAAAAAAATGTAATTGTACAGTATACTTATTAGACTACCCTGTTTCTTTGGATTGGGGGAGAAGATGCATTTTGTGGGATGGGATAAAGAGAAATGTGGCTGAATATGGCTGAATATATCATGAAAAAGTCCAGAATAAATGGACTGACATTCTGTATTGTTGTGACAGATTTGCAATCAAGAGCTACAAGTCTGTAACTGTTCCATATTCAGTAACATGTCTTCACAATCATGAAACTATTGCTACAACCATAAATGACCCTTCATCGAATCTTAACCAATATTCTACTTCAGTTACTTAGCTATGAATGCATAGCTAAGTAACATCATAGAATTATAGAGTTGGAAGAGACCTCGTGGGCAATCCAGTCCAACCCCCTGCCAAGACGCAGGAAACTTTCCTTCAAAGCATCCCCAACAGATGGCCATCCAGCCTCTGTTTAAAAGCCTCCAAAGAAGGAGCCTCTACCACACTCCAGAGCAGAGAGTTCTACTGCCGAACAGCTCTCATAGTCAGGAAGCTCTTCCTAATGTTCTGATGGAATCTCCTTTCTTGTAGTTTGAAGCCATTGTTCTGTGTCCTCGTCTCCAGGGCAGCAGAAAACAAGCCTGCTCTCTCTTCCCTATGACTTCCTTTCACATATTCATACATGGCCATCAAGTCTCCTCTCAGCCTTCTCTTCTGAAGGCTAAACATGCCCAGCTCTTTAAGCCGCTCCTCATAGGAGTTGTTCTCCAGACCCTTAATCATTTTAGTCACCCTCCTCTGGACACATTCCAGCTTGTCAACATCTCCCTTCAATTGTCGGAAATGTTGACATCACCTGGTCCAAGTGCCTCTAGCCCACATTAATAGCCAGTAGACATCCTGAATGTAAGAGCTATTTGGCTGTCAACAGAGGAACAGAAGAGGACAACCTTTCCCACCCTCTGCTGCCAATGAGAGAAGCTTCTTGCTTCTGATTGTTTCAGCCTCTCTCACTGACAAAACAAGGCTAGAAACATCATCTTCCTTGAACCCAGATCAGGAGCTGAACAGACTTCCTTTGCTCAATATGGCTGCTAGCTGTTAAGGTGGGCTTGGGGGATCCAGACCAGGAGATACTGCCTGCATAATAAAGTAGGCAATGAATATTCCCAACACCAAACAGTTATCATTTATTGGATTTGAAACAACTATCAAACCCTGAATGTTCCTTGCTCTCATTCTTTCTCTGGGCCTCTTGTTTAGTTGGCCTCAGAACTAACTATAAGATCTGTTAGATCATTTCCCTACAACACACACACTGGGAAACTGCTGAAAAAATTCCATATAAACCAAAATGGCAGCCTTTCGTTGCTTTAAAACAGGAACTGTTCTTCCTTCTGGAAATGGATTGCTTAATCAAAATTTTGGCTAGACTGCATCCTGGCAGGTATACTCAACACAGCTGTTTCTGTACAGAGGGCACCAGCATGACAGAAATTATACTGCCAGAATTATTTACATCTGTTCTTAGCACACAAGTACATGAAGATTATAGAAGTGAACTGGCATATATGTTTGTCTGATTTGCAGGCACACATGGACATACTAGTCTTTTCAACATCGCATTGATTCCTCTTCCACTTCCTCTTCCAGAATAGTATTTGAATTTTTCAAAGCTTAAGGGTTGCCGAGTATAGATAACAGAGTTTGTTTCTCTACAGCATTGTCTTGACTATATAAGGAAGCTATGTAGTTCAGTTAGTTGTGAAACGTATCATAAAAATAACTCAAGAATATTCTGTAACATCATCAACATTTTAGAAGAAATGACATTGAAGGGAACATATATAACTCTGCATCCTGAAGTTCATAGCAATATTCCCAGTTTTATAGAACCTAGTGAAATAGGGCAGAATATAATCATAGAAAGCTGGTTTAAGCAAAATTGCACATTTTTGACCAAGAAGAAAAAAACTCAACCCTAAAACCCCTGATCATTTTTTAAAATGAAGCTCTAAAAGTGCCATAAACAATAACTGTCTTACCCCAATAATGCTCAGACCTTGCAGATAGTCTTGTCGAGGCTGGGCTTGAGGCACACATCCAGCTAGAACAACTTTCTTTTTTCCCTCTTGTGCTTTCCTAAAACAAAAGAATTTGAATAGAAATATGATTGTCTTTGAAAGATACGGCAAGTATCTAGAATATGGAATGTTTATCATTTAGTACAGAAAGGTATAAAGCTGTTTCATTTTTGTCACCCTATATCACAACTGATAAATATCGTAGCATGAATACATTTAAAAATGACTCTAAACTCCACCCAATGATATATTTTTCTTGTATAATGGTTGCAACGTCACAGCCATTTTTAATCTCTGGTCATAACAATTCTGAAATTGTAATCCAATATGATAAATTGCTCTTGTGATAAAATTCTACAGGTGTAGCTGGTGTCCACCAAACCATATATATATATATATATATATATATATATATATATATATATATATATATATATATAAGCAGGGTAATTAACAAGGTATACTCTTGTTGTTTATTCATCAGTCGCTTCCGACTCTTCGTGACCTCATGGACCGGCCTATGCCAGAGCTCCCTGTCGGCCATCACCACCTCCACTCCTTCAAGGTCAAGCCAGTCACGTCAAGGATAACATCCATCCATCTTGCCCTTGGTCAGCCCCTCTTCCTTTTTCCTTCTATTTTCCCCAGCATCATTATTTTCTCCAAGCTATCCTGTCTTCTGATTATGTGGCCAAGGTACTTCATTTTTGCCTCTAACATCCTTCCCTCCAGTGAGCAGTCGGGCTTTATTTTCGGGAGTATGGAGTGGTTTGATCTTCTTGCGGTCCAAGGCACTCTCAAAATTTTCCTCCAACACCACAGGCTATCTTCCTTTGCTAAACCTTCCTTATGGTCCAGCCCTTGCATTCATAGGTTACTACGGGGAATACCATTGCTTTAACTATGCAGATCTTCATTGCCAATGTGATGTCTCTACTCTTAACTATTTTTTCGAGATGGGTCATTGCTCTCCTCTCAAGAAGTAAAGTCTTCTGATTTCCTGGCTGCAGTCTGCGCCTGCAATAATCTTCGTACCTAGAAATACAAAGTCTGTCACTGTCTCCAAGTGTTATCCCTATATTTGCCAATTATCAATCAGTCAGGTTGCCATAATCTTGGTTTTTTAAATGTTTAACTGCAGCCCAGCTTTTGCGCTTTCTTCTTTCACCTTGATTAGAAGGTTCCTCAATTCCTCCTCACCTTCAGCCATCAAAGTGGTATCATCTGCATATCTAAGGTTGTTAATGTTTCTTCCAACAATTTTAACTCCAGCCTTGGATTTATCGAGCGCCATACGTCGCATGATGTGTTCTGCATACAAATTGAATACGTAGGGTGAGAGTACACAGCTCTGCCATACTCCTTTTCCAATCTTGAACCAGTGTGTTGTTTCATGGTCAGTTCTTACTGTTGTTACTTGATCGTTATACAGATTCCTCAGGAGACAGACAAGGTGACTTGGGATCCCCATACTACCAAGAACTTGCCACAATTTATTATGATCCACACAGCCAAAGGCTTTTCAATAAAACAGAAACATAGGCATACTATATTTGTACTAAATCAAATGATATTTCAATATAGTTTCCAAGGCTATATCTTGCCCTATGCAGCCACCACAGAGACTAGATTATCGTTTAGATGCTGGATACTGAAGCAAGCCACTGGCAAACAAAAAAATTTAGAAGAAATTTTAACACCATATCTGAAATAGCAACAGTGGGAACAATGTACCTTTCATTTTCCCCAAAGCATGAAGACAAACTGTCACAAAATTTAGCACCCATAGGTATCTATACCCTATGGTATGGATGTGCATAGTTCTCCCTCTATACCCCAAATCTGATAAGATGTCAAGAGTAAAACCGACTGCACTGCACCTCGGAATAATTGACATATTAAATGGTATATGTTAATGTGTTTCAGTAACTGTCATCTCCTCAAAACTTTCATGAAATACAGCTAAGGATGACTGACATTATTATATAACATAGTGCATAGTAAGTGTAAGCTTAATAGACCTTTAATTTAAAATTCTTTCTACAGACCCACATGTAGTTCTTAGATTTTACTTTACACTGTACATAAGATCAACCAAACTTTTAATTATGTTTTTTCTCTGCATATCAGCAAAGCATTCAAGACTTCTTTCTTCTTAATCTGTCTAATGAGCTCTGTTGAATTCAACAAGACTTTAAGATTATTCTTTCTTTAGAAAACTAGAAAACTACAAATACCTTTAACCTTCAAAAACGTTAATTCTAGCCCACATGTAATTCAAGTAGCATAAATAAACAGATCTCCATTTTCAGAATCTTTGGTATTTTGCAATTAAATGGATGTTACCTTGGATTCTCAGTTTAATTGGCTCCTTCAAAAATGCACTTCACCTTAAAAGTAATCAACAAAATCTCATTGTGATCATTGTGGGTACTTTGTTCTGATCAGGTTCCTCTTCTTCATGGTCACACAGGTATTCCATTCAGCTGTTTACTCTTTTGTAGATGGCAGAAGCTGGTGTCCATAATTGCCAGGAGCTCACATGGAGCTCTGCAGCCATCTGGAAGTGGCAATAACATGGAAGATGGGGTGACGGTCCAGCAGGGATAATGCCGTCTCAGTCTGGCAGGACCTATAGGCTCTAACACAGGCATGGACAAACCTTGGCCCTCCAGGTGCTTTGGACTTTAATTCCCACAATTCCTAATAACCTACCAGCTGTTAGGAATTGTGGGAGTTGAAGTCTAAAACACCTGGAGGGCCGAAGTTTGCCCATGCCTGCTCTAACCTACCATTGCAATGAATTCAGGAGGGTGCCCGCATCCCCCTCTGGGCCCAATTCTGGTCTGGTCTGGCCCCAGATTAACCAGGCAGTGTACATCTGGCCTGAGTTTCTTCAGATAACCACACCTCCTCCCCTGTAATATCATTATTTGGTGGATTTGCAGCTTTTCTACACTTTTTTCCTTCTTTTTTAAAGGGCATCAAGTCTCTCCAGAATAACATTTGTTTTCATAGTTATAAGTATGGCATTGGCATTACTCGATTGCAGCACTACCTCCAGAAGGCCTGTACAAAATAGTAAAAAATATTGTGGATAAACTTCAGTTGCCAAGATATATATTGTAAGTTCACTAGAGGTGAAGAGTATCTTTCAAGCAAAGCGGAGTTTGCCTGAAAAATATGGAGTGATAGTTTCAGAAGGCTGTGGTCTGCAATTCACAGTGGTCTGGTATTGGGAAGGGGAAACATTCTCTCACATAAATCTTCTTGATTTCTGCACTAGAAGTTTAGACCTAATAAAGAAACGGTTATTTTGCAGAGATCGGCTGAAACAGCACTCTAACTATGTTAGTTTTGTAAGCCCCCCTCCACTGCCTCTACATTTCATCATCAAGAAATATTTGTATATTTTATATTACCACTGCCTCATTTTTTCCAAACTCTTAAACCTCATCCCCAAAACTTTGAAACTACTGTTTGAAAATCCTAATCTACAGTTCCAGGCCTGCACCTAATGTATAGCTTAATTTGAACATCTCTGACTCACAAACTGCAGTTCCCATGCTCATTTTTCTTGACTTTCATGTCCTAAAGAGATACCTGTATCTTTTCATGTGAAATCAAATCTCCCGAAAGTGCATTTATTTCATATCTCAAGCCATTACTCAAAACATTAATCACATGGATTAAGCCATGCCTTGTTGCAGATAGCTACATGCTGTTGCTTCCTGTAACATCCACAGTTGGTTCGTCTGAGTATGGCATTGTTTACCATGCCCTTTTAAAAAATGCTGCGGTCTAATATGAAAGGCAGCTGGATTTTAGCTGTGAGCACAATCTTCCTGTTCATTCCCCTCCAGTACTAAACTGTAAACTACAAAGAAGAATACTAAACAGTCAGAATACCAACAAGCAATTTAAAATGCTTGAATTCAGAAGAACATTTACATAACTGAAGTATTCTTCCTGAGTTGAAATTATGAGCAGAAAAGTTCAATTTCTAGAGGGAAATGTTATTTTGAGTTCCTATTTAAATTCCCAGTTTTAATTGTAAAACTGGGAATTTTTTGTAAATTCCTCTCTTTTTTTCTTAGTACAGGGGCATCAAACCCAGTTTCATTGAGGGCCATGTGAGACTTACGGTTGTCTTCAAAAGTAACTATATTGAATGTATTCTCAAAGGCTTTCATGGCCAGAATCACTGGGTTGTTGTAGGAAAATTGGGTTTATATATCTGTGGAAAGTCCAGGGTGGGAGAAAAGAACCCTTTTTCTAGTTTTCAACAGACCTCACAACCTCTGAGGATGCCTGCCATAGATGCAGGCGAAACGTCAGGAGAGAATGCTTCTAGAACATGGCCATACAGCCTAAAAAAACCTACAACAATCCAGTAACTATGTTGCTCTGATATAGAAAGATGAAAAAGTGTTGCTCTGGTATGAAAGTCTAAAAAGCCTCCTACATGAAAGCAGTCACCCACTGATTACCTCGTGCATCCTATTATCCCCAGGCCGCCTGTGAGGAAGTGGGGGGAACTGCCTTTCTTCAAAATCCCCTTCCTAATTTGTGCTAGGAGGTGAGGTCCACTGTATTCTGGATGAGCTAGGAGGAAAATGGACCAGACATGGGCACACTTTTTGAAGCATTCACCCCCACCCCAGGTCCAGACCATCAGGGGAAGTCGCCACCAGACCTTGCAGGCCACACAAAAAGACATGGCTGGCTGGATTTGACCCGTGGGCCTTGAGTTTGACACATGTGCCTTAGAATAATCCCCAACGATTTCTATGCTTAAGTTAGTGTTGAAATAATGAAGTCTTCTATTGTTGCTGGTCCAGGATTCGTGGCGGGGGGGGGGGGGGGGGGGGGGGGGGGGGGTTCATAAAACACTACGGAAAGCAACAACAGGAATCCAACTTGAAACAGAAAACCTGCCCAATTCTGTATTTCTTGTGAACTTCACAACAGATCTGCACCAAATATTAACAGAAATCTCAACAGACATGAAAACTAAATCCAAGGAGCACAATCAACTCCTGATGTGATCATGGCTGT